AGAACTAGAACAGAACTAGAACAGAACTAGAACAGAACTAGAACAGAACTAGAACAGAACTAGAACAGAACTAGAACAGAACTAGAACAGAACTAGAACAGAACTACAACAGAACTAGAACAGAACTAGAACAGAACTAGAACAGAACTCGAACAGAACTAGAACAGAACTAAAACAGAACTAGAACAGAACTAGAACAGAACTAGAACAGAACTAGAACAGAACTAGAACAGAACTAGAACAGAACTAGAACAGAACTAGAACAGAACTAGAACAGAACTAGAACAGAACTAGAACAGAACTAGAACAGAACTAAAACAGAACTAGAACAGAACTAGAACAGAATAAGAACAAAACTAGAACAGAACTAGAACAGAACTAGAACAGAACTAGAACAGAACTAGAACAGAACTAGAACAGAACTAAAACAGAACTAGAATTAGACTTTCCAAAAATAACTACCAGCAATTTGTTTAAAATAGTTAAAATTTACTGAAAACTGTTGTCATCCCCAACTTCTCACATCACCCTCTATTTTACATTTGAAAAAAAAAATTATTGACAAAAAACCTTTAGAAGATCTACAAATTGCTTTCATTCAACTTTTAATATTAATAGTATTTGTTTCATTTTAAGTATTTATTTACAATTTCATTTCAAATGTTTTTTTGTCCTGCTACAATAACAATTTGTTACAATTTATGAACGTGCTCAAGTGTTGCTTGTTTTTATCTGGGTGCAGGGTTTCATGTTCAAGAGCATTATTTATCTGAATTTTTTTTTATTTATTATTGTTGAAATAAAGTTTGCCGAAAAAATATAATGACCATTATTTTGGTTTTAACAAACAATTGTAAAGGATACAAGGAATTATGTTGGCAGAAAATTTTTAGTAGTTTAAAGTTGCAGGTCAAGGTAATAAAACATATGTTATTATTAAGTTAAATAAAATTTATTAAATTTTGAAATCTTAAGTAAAGTTTACTTAAATGTAAAGCCAGTAATCAGCTTAGTTTTTAAGCTAACAATAAAATAATTTAGTATTTGTAACAAAACAAATATTATTAAATCAAATTAAATGTAGAAACCCCTCAAACAAATGTGCAACAGCCCCTGGGGCAGAAAATCAATTCGACTTGCCACAAACATGAACATGAACAAAAATAAATTTCCAAGTAAATAACCAAAAATAGATAAAAAGGAACATACAAGTGATATAAAACAAATTTTTATGATTTCCTTTAAGTAAAAATCTCTACCCACCCCTAACGAAAATAAATGGAAATAGCTTTCTATTTGGCTGTACAGTGGCAGCAAAGGATCTAAATATGGATTGTATGCAAAACACTAAACATCATTTTAATGTTTATCGTCTTTTATTGTCGTCAAACAAATTATTTTTCATATGATACCAGGACACAACAAAAAATAAAACAGCTTAAGGATATTGATGCCCTCCTGCTTTAATATTAATTTGCAAAAAGAAAAAATCTGAACACAGGAAAGAAATCCTAACATTTGAGAACAAACTCAGCTGCTTATCATTGTCATAATCATTATCATCTTGGTTTTATGGTAAGAAGGTAAGTAATTTGATTAGCTTAGAGGTAGATGTGAATATACTTAGAAGACAGATAAAATATTTGTGTTAATAAAAAAATTAAATAAAAAGATCTTGAACAAAAAACAAGGGAGACGAACCAAACAAAAATTCTTGAGATAAATTTGTTTGATAGAAAAGGAATCAATAAATGCAAAAAATAACAAGAGTCAAAACAATTTAATGCTTGAATAAAGCATTAGAAAATATCCTAAGGATATTTATCCTTACATTGTAGATGTTGACAACAAATGAATATTGAATTAAGTTTACTTATTGTTGTTGAACAAAAATAGAAAAAAAATGTGACAATGCAAAGTAAAACTCAAAGATATTATTAATTTCTATTTAACTACAAACATTTATTCAACATAGCTCAATATCACTCATATTTACTTTATTTATTAAAATATTTCCTTTGCTTATTCAGTCTCATCTGAAATTTACCTTTTTCATTAATAAGCTTTTAATTTGCTTATTTATATTTCATGGGTTTTGCAAAAAAAAAGGAAAGCAAAAAAATTTGCATAAATTTATTTCTAAGAGGTGGGTGTTTTAATTTATTTGTTTAATATACAAACTTTGTCTTTGAAGTTTTCATGTATACTTAGCTACAAATATGTATGTATATTCTATATAGAAAAAAAACTGTAACATCATTTTAATAAAATATTTATTTAGCTTAAAACATGTCATGTTAAACATACTTCATTTCTACTTAATATAATTTGATTTAAGTAAACATTATTAAAATGTTTAATAAAATATTCAAAGAAGTTGTTAGACAAATGAAGCAGAGTTGGCAAAAGAATCAAAAAAGAGAAAATATCTTATAAATGTAAAGTAATCCTTTGGGAAAATAAGCAAATTTCAAAATTGAATTTAAAAGTATTTAGATTTAACAAAAAATACCAAATTACTTCCAAAACTAACAACAACAACTAGAACATTTTTTGTGATAAAAATTTTGATTTGTAACAAAAATAAAAATCGAATTTGAATGAAAAAATGTTAATGGAACTAAACTGAAACTAGACTGAACTAGAACTGAACTAGAACTGAACTAGAACTGAACTAGAACTGAAAACTAGAAACTGAAACTAGAACTGAACTAGACCTGAACTAGAAACTGAATAGACTGACTAGAACCTGAACTAGAACTGAACTAGAAACTGACCTAGAACTGAACTAGAACTTATAGAACTTGAATCTAGAACTGAAACTAGAACTGAACTAGAACTGACTAGAACTGAACTAGAACTGAACTAGACTGACTAGAACTGAACTAGAACTGAACTAGAACTGACCTAGCAACTGAACTAGAACTGACAGACTGACAGAACTGACTACAACTGAACTAGAACTGAACTAGAACTGAACGAGAAACTGAACTAGAACTGAACTAGAACTGAACTAGAACTGAAATCTACTGAACTGAACTAGAACTGAACTAGAACTGAACTAGAACTGAACTAGAACTGAACTAGAACTGAACTAGAACTGAAATAGAACTGAACTAGAACTGAACTAGAACTGAACTAGAACTGAACTAGAACTGAACTAGAACTGAACTAGAACTGAACTAGAACTGAACTAGAACTGAACTAGAACTGAACTAGAACTGAACTAGAACTGAACTAGAACTGAACTAGAACTGAACTAGAACTGAACTAGAACTGAACTAGAACTGAACTAGAACTGAACTAGAACTGAACTAGAACTGAACTAGAACGGAACTAGAACTGAACTAGAACTGAACTAGAACTGAACTAGAACTGTACTAGAACTGAACTAGAACTGAACTAGAACTGAACTAGAACTGAACTAGAACTGAACTAGAACTGAACAAGAACTGAACTAGAACTGAACTAGAACTGAACTAGAACTGAACTAAAACTGAACTAGAACTGAACAAGAAAACAGAACTAGAACTGAACTAGAACTGAACTAGAACTGAACTAGAACTGAACTAGAACTGAACTAGAACTGAACTAGAACTGAACTAGAACTGAACTAGAACTGAACTAGAACTGAACTAGAACTGAACTAGAACTGAACTAGAACTGAACTAGAACTGAACTAGAACTGAACTAGAACTGAACTAGAACTGAACTAGAACTGAACTAGAACTGAACTAGAACTGAACTAGAACTGAACTAGAACTGAACTAGACTGAACTAGAACTGAACCAGAACTGAACTAGAACTGAACTAGAACTGAACTAGAACTGAACTAGAACTGAACTAGAACTGAACTAGAACTGAACTAGAACTGAACTAGAACTGAACTAGAACTTAACTAGAACTGAACTAGAACTGAACTAGAACTGAACTAGAACTGAACTAAAACTGAACTAGAACTGAACTAGAACTGAACTAGAACTGAACTAGAACTGAACTAGAACTGAACTAGAACTGAACTAGAACTGAACTAGACTGAACTAGAACCGATTTATCCGATTTGTAAAATAATTAAAATTATATATGTCGGTTTGGCGGTGGTCGTGAAGTTTTGTAGAGACAGAGAGAGAATTGAAATTAATATAATGGATTATATTGTAGGCGATTTCGTAAAAAAGATTTATGAAAATAATTCTTGGAAAATAAAATAAATCTAAACTGACAGCGGACTTCAAGTTAATCCAAGAAGTATTTTTTATAAATTTATTACAATGTGCCGACGGCTTTTTTAAGTGCGAAATAAAATATTGTTTTAATTTAAATTTTATTACTTCTTTTATTTAATTTTAATAATAAATTTACAAAATTGTTTATTTATTTAAATATAAATATTTTTAATACTTGTACTTTGTTATGCTCATTAAAAATTATAATAAATATTTATTAAAAAATACATTTCTAAAAAGGTTTAAAACTAAACTGAAAATTTACTTAAAACTACAAATACTCTAGTGGTTAAAATATACCAATTGCAAGTATATTTATTTTCAAGTATAAAATTGTATCAAAAAGTCTACATATTGGTATAAAACTTAATAGTTAAATATACAAACATTTAGATGTTAGAGTAAATTGTTGGCAAATTAATTTAAATAAATTATTAAGTAAATAATACATTTTGTATATATTTTATAAAAAAATAAGCTGTAATTTATGTTTTGAGTATAAAATAGACACTGAGAGAAAAAATGTTTTGGTAGAAATATTACAATAATAATTAAAAATGTTTCTTAAACTTTTCTGTAAGGAAATGTTTTTTAAAAGAAACATTTTTATTTTTTATAATATAATTTATTAATTTAATATTAAGATTAATTTAATTTTAGTTTAAAAATTGACTATCACAATTGTGCTTTATTTAGTTTAGTTTAGGATTTAATTTAAATCCTTAATCATTTAATATGCCGACGGTATTTTTCTTTAGGATGGCTGCTGGCTAACTTTCCTTAGGAAATATACTTTCTTTAGCTTAAAAAAAACACATCACAATTTTGCTTTTATCTAACAGAACTGTTCCATTATTTCGGTTGATGTTTCAGATTTTACTGCCATTGCGGTTTTACCTGACCATTGGGTAAAATTTGTATGATGGCCGTAGAGGTTTCTGAGGAGGCAGTTGTGGTTGCATGACCGGCGGTTGTTGTGTTGGAAGTTGTTGTTGTATTAGTCATATTTTGCTGATAATGATCCTTTAAAGCTTTACACATGGCTAAAGCCAAAATTTTCCAAGCCATTAAATCTTCTTGTGTTATAGATTCATTCTCATTGTTTGCAGGATTATTCCAATGATTTTGATTTATATGCGGACTACTAAAGTTTTGGTGTTGAGTCTGCATTATGGGTCCATCTACTTGGTCGGTTTCTACAGCTACTGGAGGCTGTTGTTGCTGCTGCAGTTGTTCTTCATGTTCATAAAAAGGTATGGCCATTTTTGCTCGATAAATATTCTTCTATATCCAATAGATTTTAAAACACGTATTTTTCTTTGTACTTTTACGTAAATTCTTGCGTTCAAAAATATATATTTTTTTGAAATTTTTTACACACGTCTTTCTTTAACCACTAGTAACGTAAAACTGACTCGATTATTTGCTTTTCAATTGTATTTATACAATTTTCTGTGTAACTTTTGATACCTTTAGAGGATGAACAATGTAATTGAAACAATTGTCGTTGTAAAAACCACCGAAAATCATATATTTCACCCCCTAAACTCATCCTTTGAAGTATTACTCTCTTTGACTCTCTCTTTTACTATGACTTGTGTCTCTCTTTGTGAGTTGTTGGCAAACTCACGTGAATTTCACGTTTTATGAAAACAAAAATACTATTCTTCCGCTTATTGTAGTGTCAGTCAGTCACTTTGTGTTTTGTCTGTCTATCTGACGTAACGTCCAACAACAACCACTTAACTAATCTTATCAACAATACCAGAAAAAAACATTTGTTTTTATTATGTTTTGCTGCTGCTACTTGTGATGACAAATGCTCGTCAGTAAGTGAGAAATTCTATAAATATAATCATCACATGGCTCTAATTCTCTCGCTCTCATTTCAGCAACTACCCCTCTACTGAAATTTTTAATATATTTTCGAAGTTCTCTAAATTCGAAATTAAAGTTTGCTTTACCTTATAAAAGTTTCCCCGTTCGAGTTTAAATTTCGAACAATTCTCAGGAGAAATATAACAGTCTTTAGAATTTCGAAGGATTTTAAGGAGAAAATTTACTCTGTATTGAACTATTTGTTGTCTGTTTGCCACAACGAGTTCAGACTTCAAAATTCGTATTCGAAATCTAGCTTCGACTACGAAATCCCCTTATTAATATGACTCACTCTCATATCATATAGTAGCTTGACATAGGTTTTCACACACACACACCAAAGTGAAAATAAAAAATTTCAAAAATAGTCCTTGACCAATTTTTATGTTCTTTCGAATATATGTGGTTTGCCGCCAACAAAGAATGTACGAATGCGGTTGAAAACCTATTTATAAGTTTATAATTTATAAAAATAATATTTCTTATTAAACAATTTTAATTACTTTAGTGTTAATTACCCAACATTATTATTATTTTGTTGTGATTAACAAATTGATTTATGAAAATGAAAAATTTTGAATTCCCCCGAGAATATAACGAAAAAAATAAACTCATATGCAAATTTTGGCAAAGAATTATCTACTGTGCTTCATAACAAGTAACAAGTCTACAGCCATTTGTAATAATATTATTTAATAATGTAAACTGACATTTAATTAAGGTAACTTAACTACCAAATGCTAATAAAGTATTTTTTGTTTCTTAGCTTCCCCCTTAAGGCTGCAGTCAAGATACAATAGCAACAAATGAGTCTAATTAATAATGAAGCATTTGCCACAAACAATACAAAAAAAATGTGGCGAGCACTAGAGGTGAGAGGTCTTGCTACAGAGTTTTACAATTTGGTGGGAGTTGTTTTAATTTAAAATTGAATTATGGTTAATATATGAAATTTTGAAAAGAATTTATATATTTTGAGATTTTTAATTGAAAGAGAATTATAAATTTCCTTAAAACGTCTGTAACCAAACCCACAACTATAGACTAGACTATAGACTAGACTATACTATCGACTAGACTATAGACTAGACTATAGACTATACTATCGACTAGACTATAGACTAGACTATAGACTAGACTATAGACTAGACTATAGACTAGACTATAGACTAGACTATAGACTAGACTATAGACTAGACTATAGACTAGACTATAGACTAGACTATAGACTAGACTATAGACTAGACTATAGACTAGACTATAGGCTAGACTATAGACTAGACTATAGGCTAGACTATAGACTAGGCTATAGACTAGACTATAGACTAGACTATAGACTAGACTATAGACTAGACTATAGACTAGACTATAGACTAGACTATAGACTAGACTATAGACTAGACTATAGACTAGACTATAGACTAGACTATAGACTAGACTATAGACTAGACTATAGACTAGACTATAGACTAGACTATAGACTAGACTATAGACTAGACTATAGACTAGACTATAGACTAGACTATAGACTAGACTATAGACTAGACTATAGACTAGACTATAGACTAGACTATAGACTAGACTATAGACTAGACTATAGACTAGACTATAGACTAGACTATAGACTAGACTATAGACTAGACTATAGACTAGACTATAGACTAGACTATAGACTAGACTATAGACTAGACTATAGACTAGGACTATAGACTAGACTATAGGACTAGACTATAGACTAGACTATAGACAGACTATAGACTAGACTATAGAACTAGACTATAGACTAGACTATAGACTAGACTATAGACTAGGACTATAGACTAGACTATAGACTAGACTATAGACTAGACTATAGACTAGACTATAGACTAGACTATAGACTAGACTATAGGACTAGACTATAGACTAGACTATAGACTAGACTATAGACTAGACTATAGACTAGACTATAGACTAGACCTATAGACTAGACTATAGACCTAGACTATAGACTAGACTATAGACTAGACTATAGACTAGACTATAGACTAGACTATAGACTAGACTATAGACTAGACTATAGACTAGACTATAGACTAGACTATATAGACTAGACTATAGACTAGACTATAGACTAGACTATAGACTAGACTATAGACTAGACTATAGACTAGACTATAGACTAGACTATAGACTAGACTATAGACTAGACTATAGACTAGACTATAGACTAGACTATAGACTAGACTATAGACTAGACTATAGACTAGACTATAGACTAGACTATAGACTAGACTATAGACTAGACTATAGACTAGACTATAGACTAGACTATAGACTAGACTATAGACTAGACTATACTAGACTATAGACTAGACTATAGACTAGACTATAGACTAGACTATAGACTAGACTATACTCCAGACTATAGACTAGACTATAAATAATATCTGTGAAAGCTTTCAGTACTTTAATTCCTACCGTTTGAACTTTATATTGATTCCAACAAACTGATAAGCAGACCTGAATAAATTGTCTTAGAATCTAATATGGACCCATAATTTCAAATTTATTTTTAAAAATTTATTTTATTTTTAAATAAATTACCATTTTCAATCAATAGTAATCGGTACTGTATGCTTTACTATCAATTTATGTGCCACCCTAAAACTATGCTATCAATTTTAACTGCATTTGATTTCATGTATATGTAAGTAAATTTATATGTAAATATTTACCTTATATTTTATGTAGAACTGGTTCTTTATCAATATTTACTTATTTTTTCTTCATATTTAACACTTTACACCATTTTTTACTTAAACTGAAAAGAAACAAAGAAAAAAACATGTTAAAAACATTTGTTTACTCATAAAGCAAAAAAAAAATCAAATGAAAAAAAGCACAATCAAATACAATAAAATTATAAAAATACATTCTCACACACATACATATATCCTTACATATCCTTGCATTCAAATACATATACATTTTTTTGTGTACACAACTGTTTTGCTTGACTACTTTTCAAGTCTTGTAGCTAAACAACATTATGCTTATTTAAACGTAAAATAGTAAAACTGCTTGCATACTTTTAGGTTCTTAAAATAAATAGAAAATTATTGCATACTGTGAGGAGGTTGCAAAATGGAAAACATGCATAAATGTTTTGTAAATGTAAAATGTTTAAATAAGTAAAAAAACAATAACAAGAACTGACATGGAAAAGCACCTCTGCTTAAGAAACTGAAAAACAATAGTGTAGCAATCTTAACATTTGCCACAAGAAAAAAGGCAAACTTAGAAATATAGCTATTGTTTTCTTACTCGTTTTTCTGTTATTAAATTATATACCTTATTATCAACATTGTGATGGAAATATTTTTTAATGTTAACCCTTTAGATCCCCTTACAAGTTACCTTTAAATTTTGAAGTGGCTGTTGAGTTTCTGCTCTCAAGGGGTTAATTTCTATTATTATAAAAGTATGATGAACAAGTAAAATTTTACTGCTTTTGGAGTTTATTAAGCCAAACAACAATTGTTGCTTTATAGTTGTTGCACGGTTATTGTGCATCGAAATAATACAACTGCATTTAAGGAGAAGACACCTCCATACAAGTCAATGTCTTAAATGTATTGAAAGCTATACAATATTATTATAGCTTTTATATTTTCGACATGTGTGAGTTTGTTGCTTTAGTATTGTTTCCTTTCCTTTAAAAGATGAATCCATTTTTAGTAAATATTATGCTGCTGATAGTAAATGTTATGCTTAACTGTTGTATTCAAAAGTATTGTTGCAAGTTGTATGAAGAAAAAATGAAAGAAAGTAACATGTGCATGGTAATAACTTTATGTATATTAACAATATAAAAAATATTACAAATACAACTTTTATGAATATGGTTTCCTATAAAAAGAGACGCTCTATTGTTATGGGTTAAAGAAATATGAATGCTGTTTTTTCTTAGGATCCTTTTGCAGAGATATTATCTTTATAGGAAAATATTTAAAGAAAATTATTAAATTAAATATTATTAAATAAACTAATAGGACTACGAATGAAACTACAAACAGAATATGACAACGCAACGTTGTCAACATTGCAACAATTCGTTGTCGCAATATAAATTTTATACACATCCGTTGTCTAAAAGTTAACAAACGTGGTAAGCTCACTATTGACAATGGATTGTGAACTTACCACGTTGATGTGTATAAAATTTAGATTGCGACAACGAATTGTTGCAATGTTGACAATGTTGCGTTTTCAACATTACATAGTGTTGTCGTACGTATGTATATACTTGACAACGGATGTTATTAAAACATTTTTTGTCGATTTCGAACCAGGCGTGTATACATATATTTTTCCCTCTGTGTATCACGATTAAAGCTTTTATT